AAAAAACTTTCTTGAATTATTTTTTTAACAATTATCTCTGTTACATAAGTTTAACTATTTTTGACATAAAATATTTAATAATTTTAAATTACATTTTGTTACTTAACTTGTTTCATTTTTTAATTTTGAAAATTATATATTTAAAAATTATTCACGCCTCGACATTAAACATTATTTTTGTAGCGGTATTCGCTTCAAATGTTACGTATCAAAGAAACAACCTGCGCAAACTTTGGCATCTGTGCATCAAATGATCCCGACGTAATCGCGCAAATCTTTCCCTGAAGGAAGGATTCTGGTCCTCGTTGAGAGACATCGGTAGTAAGTCGCAAGTCTTACATAGTAGTATCGTTTTTTTTCGACGGTAATCACAATGCGCTTGATGATGTCTTCTTTTTTTTTTCTCGCGTAGACTTATTAAAATAGTAATACATCGATTACTGCGAAAGTGTGTCGCTTTAGTAGCATCGAGAGGATGTTTCCTTTTAGTTTAGGCCTTACCGATACGCCAAGCGAATCTAATTGAACGTTCTTAAACTGCTTACGATACCCCAATAAATACGTTTGATCCGCGAAAGTCTAACGTCAACGAGATTTTACACGAAGATTCTCCATAATAGATAAATACACATCTCGCGAGCCTTTCATCGAATTTCTATCTCAATAATACTTGTAGTCTTTTCTCTCCCAGCCGATTTTCCCGATCTGCTGAACTGGATTTACGACAAAAAATTCTCGCGGAACAAAAGTCACCGGTTCACTTCCAGAAAGAAGAGACGACCGATATTCGTGAAATCGGATGAAATCGTTCGTCGAACGCGTCTCTCGATGATGCCCTCGGGCCGATTTCGATTACCTCCAAGAGTCCCGTCGAATCTTTATATTAATCTTAAACGCGAACCTGAACTCGCACGACTATAAATAGACATCTATGACGTAATAATCGCGTACCATAGATAAATTTTGCGATAATGTCGAACGTAGCTCGGGCTTAATCGTAATGTGCGCGTGTGTGTGTGTGTGTGTGTGTGTGTGTGTGTGTATTTTCGGATTATTCGAGGCGAGGGCTTACTTCGCGTGGGTGACAGATATTCCCCATAGTGTTTATCATGATCCGGGAGATGATCCGGGATCGCGTGGCATCGATCGGATCGCGACATTTGCCTCGTGCCGACGTCGTTGCTTCTTACGTCTCACGACGTCGTCACGCGGGCGGTTCTCGCGCGTGCGAGGGTGCAGGGAGATAATACCTATAATATCCGTTGCGATTATTGCAGACGGTGGTGGTGGTGGTGATGGTGGTGGTGGTGGTGGTGGTGATAGTGGTGTCGTGAATACTTGCCCCGGGTCACTCTCGCCGAGTTACGTACGAACACCCTTCAGCGTCGATGCCAGGTCGATTTCCGCTCGACGACCGACGAACGCACACAATATCGCCTCGCGCATATGTACAGGTATAGAAACGAGAGACCATCCTCCCTCTCCCCCTCCCCCCTCTCCTCCCACCCCCCTCGTACACGATGAACAGACAGAAATCCCTTGTGCCCGGATTTAATTCTCGGCTGCCGTCTCGAAACCTCCAACCGGCCGGAGGTAGACCTCCGATGATCGTCAGATCGCCGAACTAACAGCTGCATCTCCAGGCGTCACCTTGTTGAGACGGTGACTGCGCCTTAATTATACTGTCCGCGCCTTCTCTCTCGGAAGCCTCGAACAGGCTGGCCTGCAACAGCGATCGTTTCATTGCGCTTGAGAAAGCTCGGTCCCGTTACGTTTGCAATCGAAAGGTGACAGCGGGGAAAGTTCCGTCTTTTTCTGATTTGAAGAATAGAATCTTTCTTCCCGCAAGAAAAGATTTACCTTTAACTAAAAATATAACGGAAAAAGGAATAAAGGAATAAAAAAAGTGTTTAAAAAAAATTAATTTGTTTGAATAAAATATTGAAATAAAATTAATTAATTTATTAAATTTAATGTTAAATTTAATAAATTAATAATAATAATAATAATTATTATTATTATTATTATTAATTAATAATAAATATAAATGTATTTTTGAAAAAGTATAATTGTAATTTTGAAATTATAACCTTTTAAATTTAGATAAAGATTTTTAGATTTTAAAAAATATTTTAAAAACTTTCTCAAGCGATGCGGGAAGCAACGGCATGGAGATGGCTTTCCTCCGCAATTGGACTCGAGGCGAAGAAATCTTACCCGGCGGCCTCGTTGTTCCCGTATTCTTCTGGCCAGAGTCAGAAAGGCCTCCTCGATGTTGATATTTTCCTTGCATGACACTTCGAAGAAGGGCATATCGAAGTTCTCGGCGATCTTTTGGCCTCTCTCGGCGTCCACGGCGCGATGCGCGGTCGCGTCGCATTTATTCGCCGCCAAAACTTTTACTACGTCCGGCGACGCGTTCTATGATGCAAACGACGGAATTGCTTATGATTCATGCACTCACACGACATTTCAATTGCATGCAAATGTGCGCCTGAATAGCTCGCGGAAAAAAACGTTTTCTCGTGAAATTAATTTCATTACGTGTTTTAGAATTAATTTACTGGATTCCGAATATAACGAGCCCAATTAGCCGTGTCGCTGTACGCGCGACTTACAATCCTCTAATTTAATATTTTATCAACTTTTGCTCGTTGCTCGAACTTTTTCCATTTTGAAGTTTCGAATCGTGATTTTATTTGGTCTTGTAGCATCTTAAAATTCTTTCCTAGGCTTCTTAAGGTCTTTTTGATCGCGGCCAATCGAAGAATTGTGATACAACGCGAGTTTATTTCTGCTCGCGGTAATGCCTCTATCTTTAGAATCGGTTTTAATCTTACTTCTTGGATATTTCGCAACCAATATGACAAATGGTTGAAACTCTCCAGACTAGTGACATCGTACATCAAAAGAATACCCATGGCACCACGATAGTACGCCGTCGTTAAAGTTCGAAATCTTTCTTGGCCGGCGGTATCCCTTTAAAAAAAAAAAAGGTTTCACAGATATACTTCCTGTTACTTTGTCTTCATTTTTATCTGCCACTTTACAGGCTATAATTCACTTGGAACAAGAGACTTCAGAGAAAGTGTAAAATTTTGTGAAAAAGAAATCGTATTTCTTTTTATTTGACTTTCGACCATTATTTTACGGTAGCCCACTGAGAATTCACAAAAAAATTACTATTTACTCACCAGATTTGTAATTTAATCGGCGTTCCGTCTAAGTTAATGATCTTCTGTTTGAAATCGATACCTGCAGATATATTCGCCATTTATATCTAACCGCATGAATATTTGTAGGATATGAGCAAACAACAATGAGCAAAAAATTCTAAATTCCAAATAAAATCAAGAAATCGCGATATACCTCAATTATGTTTATAGCACGGAACAATTAGATGCTATCGTTATTAATTAGATGGATATTGCAACAATTTACACACCAGAATTTCATATTTCCTCGCGTGCAAGTAGGATGATTAAAACTTTATGTATACGGTAGCTGAATTAGTTTTTGGTAACGGAATATAAACGCGAAATATTTGCACACAAACCAGATAAATATATCTGTAGTATTTTTAAAATAATGTCAATTTATGGAACGATTGTTGTTATGGAAATAGTTTAATTCAGCTGTAAGTTTAAAATTACATTCCGAAGTTGGGGCGAATGCAACCGAATAATCAGCTGATCGATGCTGATTCAATATACATTTTATAGAATAGATACACCATATGCGACAACAATTGAAGAATTCGGTTAAATCTAATAATGAGATCTTTGAGAATACGTTATTTGTTCTCACGTAAATCACGTAAATAATTCAAAGAGACAAAGGACAAGGTCTCGTTATTTCGTGACAAATGGGGAAGATGCATGACGAACGATGCATCAAACGCGCAAAATCAAGGAAGATATCAAGGAAACAAATTGAGAATAGAAATTCCTTTTTCCAGCGATACGTGAGATTCGCTCACGTTGGAAACAAAGACGTGACCTCGCCGATAGAATAGCCGGGGATTAATTAACTGCTACCTCCGTCAACGATGTATAGAACCTGATGTATCGACTCGTCGCGTCCAAATCAAAGTTAAATCGCGTGATTTTATTGTTCGAGGGAAACGAGGGGACGAGGGGACGAGCTGCTCGTAAACCGGTCGTAACTGCCGGCGTCGCAATGATCACCCGACAACAAAAGTCGCTGAAAAGTCGTCAGCTCGTGAAAAGTCATCAACGCGGCTTCGGCAGGCCGCGAGGGTAGAACGGGAGGCCCGGTGTATACTATTTTTTTTTTTTTTTTGTTCATCACGTACGCGTGTCTCCTCACCTATTGTCGAGATGTAGGTGTCGTAGTACCGTTCGTCGCAGTACCGATGCACGATGCAGGTCTTGCCGACGTTCGAGTCGCCCAACACCAGAACCTTGTACGTCGCTGCGAAATCCAACGCCATGTTTGCCGTAGGTTTGCTCGGGCGGTTTTGAACTGTTGTTGGGTCGACAACAGAGTCGTCGGCCGGGGATTGTTCCTCGCGGACGTTTCCCGGGGCCGGGGACGAGGGGATGGAAGATCGATTCGAGGCTTGCGCTTTAGCCCCTCTCCGTGGCAAAGGGGATTGAAGGTGTCCTCACAATCGCCGTCTGTACTGACTTTTCGTCGCTCATGCGCGGCTTTTTGATATCATGCGGAAGGGCCGCATGCGAGGGATGCGGAGACGCGTAATAACGGATGCATGCGCGTCGGGGGACGAGGCCGAGGATCGACGAAGACGGCGATAACGTCTGCCGGGAGCAATATGTAACATTGTAGCCGTATATGTATATATATA